TAGATGACCGGACGGGGATCCTTTGATATCCTGGCGTGTTGGACGTGTGACAGCTCGGACAATACCGGAGATCCCGGCGTCACTGATTGTCACTTGTTTCTTGCCATTTCTCTTTCTTCGATTTCGGCTACTGCGATTCCGCACAGGTTCTCTTCACAGTTCGCCGTTCGACGCCTCTTTCTCCTATTTCAAATTCAAATACGGGAAATCGCAAGGCGGAGACCGTAACCCTATACGCCTTGAGAACTGGCGAACGCGAAATCCCGCTGACCATTCGAGTATCGATTTGAAATACTTAATGCGAAACCCTGGATGCAAGCGAAAAGTGATCACGTTGCACTTACGTGCACTAAGCAAGTTAATAAGGACGAGGATCGGCCTTCGAGGAGGATATAGAAGAAGGTGGTGAAGGAAGGGGAAGGTGGAAGAGCATAATGTTCCTCATTGTCGAATCACTTCCGGGGCTTGACCTCCAGTAACGCCCTAAAGACCAGTTCGCATGGACAATGTCTGCGAATAATAGGCACCGATGTGTTCTATTGTATGCCTGAAACGGCGGACGCGCGGATTGTCTAAAATACCTACTTCAGGATGGACCAACAATTTAATAATGTCGACAATACGATCCGTACCGATGTTCCACTCACGCTTTCAAGAAATTTTATAAAGGAAACATACATCTTCGATGCGACTTCATAAAGGAATGAAAAAGCAAATCAGTTTAATAATAATGAACGTGATGGAATATTGGTATGAACAGATTTGTCGGTTTTATTTTCACGGAAATTATATAACTGTATAATCCTTTTCTTCAATCTCTCCATATTAAATTAAGTAATTAGAAACCACATATAGTTGTGTATCAATTTTAATGTGCTTGAATTATATCAATATGACAACATCATATATCGCGCATCAACCACGGAATGGAACTCGTGCGGTTGACGATGGCACGTTACATCGAGAATCACCATTAATATAATTTGTCAGTTGCATACGTCGCTAACAGCAAAATTTTCCGACCGATTTGCCGAAAAAGTGCCCCGTATGGGCGACGAGGCGCGTGCTGCTGCTTCAACATGAAAAACAAGCGGTACTCCGATCCTCCTTTTCTCCCACGTGGTCGCTTCGAAAGGCAAACGGTCTCCAATCCGAGTCAAGAGACCTCGAGAGGGGTTGCCGGCAACCGCGTGGAAAAAAACGCCGTCGGTTTCAATATGTAGACGAAGAAAAGTAAGAAGGAAAATGTTGAAAAGAGAGAATATGCGCAAGTAGCTGCGGAGGAGTGAGAGAATCTCGTCAGCATAAATTCGATCGTTTCACATGATTGATTCTTGATGTAACATACAAAAAACTTTTTTATGTTTCAATCCATAATATATAATGCGAATTTGATAAGAGATTATCTCGCGCAAATGCGATTAGTAATTATATTAAATAGCTAATATAGATGAGAGAGATAATTCTTAATGTATTTCTATTTTCTAAAGAAGGCTAAAAAATAAGCCGTAATATGTAAGCACGCAAAGATTTTAAATGTATTAGATCGATTTTTCAAATTATATAAATTTATTTTCACATATCAATTTCCGCACTCGACTTCTATACTCTTATTATTTTAATTATATAAAAAACATTATTAAAAATTATTAATTCCATTATTAATTGGTTCTGATTAAAATCGCACATAATAACAATTCACATGGTATTTAATAGTACGATATATGAAAATATTTCCCTCTCTTCTCCTAATTTAATATCTATAATGAGTAAAATCTAAAATATACCTTAATTGTCAATATAAAATATTGTTTTATTCTATATGGAACATATGTTCTACAAATTATTTATTGTTCTAAACTCTAATTCATTAATTTCTGTTAGAATTTATGCGCGTTTCATTTAGCATATACTTTATTGAAAAAAATTAATTTTTCAAGCATATTTGAAAACAACTCCCAAAAAACATCAATCACATGCAATAGACATAAAATTTAGAGAAAAAAAATATTTTGTTTCTTTATCTCACAAGATTAAAAGGGTTGGTATTAAACTATAATGGTGATGATTATGACGGCAATTACTGCGAGGACAAATTTGTACATGTTTCTTTTATATCTCTCCCTCTTGACTTTTTATTAAAATTTCTAGGAGAGAGATGACATCTCCATTCTTCTTCGTTTATACGTCTTCCTCTCGCTCCTACTTTCATTCGCGCCCGCAGTCTGATATTTCGCGTTGATCATTTAACTCGAGTTCTCGAAATCATTCGGCAAATTGGAACCGGCCTTCACGCGAGGGGTCTCTCGGTCGAATGAACTTAAGCCTTAGATTGGTTTAGTCGCCACGCAGGCACGCCGCAGGTCGGTCGCCCTGCGGATCACGCGTCACCGAACAGAATACAACGGGAACGAAACGAATCCCCTCTCCTTTTTTTTTTCTTATACTTTATCTCACCCTTTTCGGAAGATTGGGAAAATGAGGTAGAAATCTCGCGGCAGGTGATGTAATGGTGATACCTAAACTATCGACAAGCAATTCGGATCCCGACAATAATTCGAGACCCCCGTACAAGCGACTGTTACATTTCCTTTCGCAAATTCGGAAGTTACACGTGCAATAAAGTAACATGAGATGTTATCGCTCAAAAATAAAATTTTATTCTCTTGCCTTTTTCATAATAATCTTGAAATATTGCAACACACTTCAAAAATTAATAAAAATAAAAACAAGTAATAAATATTTTCTCTAAAAATTAGAAAATTATTTCTTAATATCCAGCATTATTTTCTTATTTTGATCACTAATTGAGATCAGATTAATATATTTATAAACAAATTAATGTTTTCAGATTGACCGGAAAATTAATTCGGAACGATCATCCTTAATCCGACAATCCCATAAAAACTTCCTGATCTTCCGCGGGATATTTTGGGGTGGATAAACACCAAGGAAATTTGGGGCGAATTTCGGTTTCGAGGTTCTTGTTCTCCCTTCGTTGATCTCGCGTCTTGAGAATTCCGTTTCCTGTAGGATGTGAGAAAAGGATTAGGATCGGGAAATAACGTACGAATCGACCGAAAGGGAACTTTTTTGCTTCATCGGATTCCGAAAAAGGTTCGTGAGATCCCAAGGATTCGTTACCGACATTGTCATAGAAATTCGATCGTAAGGTGTATCCTATTGCTTCGATTTGAATATTTTTATTTATGTTCAAACTTTTAAGCAGACTCTTTTTTATGATAAAGTATTTTTATAATTTAAGCAATAAAATTAGCATATTTAACCAAATAAAATATCAATCATTATTATGTGAAATTTTAGTATCATTTCTCTAAAAAGTCGATTTAAAATCTGGACGATTTTGAAAACTTTCTTTCAATTCGCATCTCAGTTTATACGACATTCAGAATAAACAGATCGACGTGAGAAATCGCGGCCGACTCTCTCTCGCGATGTTTTCCCTCTCGCGCGCTTGCACGTTTACGCGCGTGGGGTTGATAGATCGGCCCGACGAAACGAAGGGGTAGTTTGGCTTTAATCGATCCTGTAATCGCCAGTCCGACAGTTGGCCCCGGCTGCCTTTTTGTCGGCAGTTAGATGGATGGTGCCATTTACATTTTGTCAGTGCGACATGCGCTAACGCCGCCGCTATCATATCTATCACACCCTTTGAACCAGTACGCGATCAGTTTCCTACCGTTCAAATTTGAAAATCTTTTTTGTCGCCCAAATGTAACGCAAATGTCAATCCGAAGATGAAACCGATCATGAAAATCGATTACGTTATCGCGTTAATTTCTTAAAACGTTATTATATAATCTAAAAAAAAATCGTTACAAATTAATAACGAATTAATAACATTCTCTGACAGTAAAACAAATAAATTACAAATACTCTCATGATTATAAAAGCATTATCTGTTATTGACGATTTCGTGGGCTGATTCTCTGATCCTGACTTCGAATATCGATTTTACGGTCGACTTAGGAATGTGCGGTCCACCGTGTGCACTTCCAACAAATTCCATAGGAATCTGAAAATTTTGGAAGGAACTAAAAGAGAAAGTTGTCCGAGACGATCCAATTGACAGATCTGTCAACGTGGATGACACCTTCGGCGAACGAGTCGACCAGGTGTCTGCTGTCGAAACGAGGAGACGGCTCTGTCTATCTGCTCTTCCCTCTTTCTCCTTTACTGTTACCGGCATCTGCCGGATAATACCCGGGATTATAGCAGTAGGATAGAAACCCACTGACATCGGCTCGGACGCGGAATGAAACATTCCTGCCGAACTCGAACCATAAACAGATCGATCATCTTTCAAACGGTTTGACGACAATCTAAAATCGGGATGATATCGAATAAGATTTGCGTGTGAATCCTCGTGTATCAAATATATGTTGATGTATGCTATTCATTCGAGAAACGTTCCGATATTCGAGCATAGAAATAAATTTAATGATTTTACATTAATTATGTATAACATAGCTAAAAGAGAAATCTAATTCTAGATTTTTCATATATAAATATATTTTTATTATCTGAAAAAGAGAGAGAGAGAGAGTAAAAAAATAATAACATGATGTATATATATACATATATATAGATAAAATATATTATATAGATATATGTATTTCTTTTTATTTTTTTTACACTCAGTACATCTAATATTATATGAAAGAATATTCTCTTATTTTTTCTATATTGATCCTTCGTACTAAACTAATAAACAAATACTCTTTTCGTTAGTCAACAAAAATTGGAAAAAAATATCCGCAGCGTTGATTGACTCCGATAAAAAGTTTCCACGGCGTTGGAAGACTATTTCGCAACATTGAGAGCGCAGCAAACATCTTTCGCTTCAAAAGGTCAGTTTGAACTGATCGAGCACCGACCTATTCGCTTTACGATCGCTTCGACTACCTCCACTCAAGAATTCGAAAGCGAGCGAAACGATAAACACGTACACACCATGAGAGAAGAAATATATGACTCACCTCCCACGCGTAACGGGGGTTGAAAGGCTCGCTCGCCCATTTGCCGAGGAATGGACCGAATCTCGCGCCACGAGGGATGTCTTTGCGTGCACGAACGTACGGACCCCCGGGAGCCGAACCACCGACCTCGACCTCCGGAACGGGAGACACCCATTCGCGACTCGAATGATCCTTAGGCTCCTGTTTTATCGCATCCTCTACGCAAATAAACGTCAAAGTACATTTATCGAATATTTATCAAGAAGGCAACAACTCATGAGTGTAATCGCAAAATACGTAAGCTGATCCCATATAGACGTGTCTATTCAATAAATTGCTACTCTCTAAAACGTTTAGGGCCAATTGTCACTCTGAAGAATGAAATCTCAATTTTCATGCTTTCGAGTGACTTTTACTCTAAAGAATTTCGAGAGTAAAAATTTAATTACTACGATAGATTGAGTTCAAAGAATTTTCACCCTCCGCAATCAAATTAGATTTTGAAAGCACAATCAATATTTTGATTATAAATTTTGGCAGATAAATTTAATTATATATCTCTATAAAAAAATTAATAAATAAAATACAATCTGACTTCTATCATAGTAAAAATTCGTTTAAAGCTTCCACAAGTGCGAGAACTTTTTCACATTTTAAACAGTCAAAAACAATATAAAAATATGCATCAATGCTCAAAAACTCAAGATGCTGACAAAAGATGCAAAATTTCAAATTCCCGACGGAGGGTTAAATATTTTCCATTTTGTAATCAACAGTGCTTAAAACAAGTGTCATGTTGATGAACATCTCGTTCTGTGTTTGAAGATTCTTTTTAACGGGGACTGTGAAACTCACGATATTCATTGCTATAATCCCGCGACCTCGAGTATTCTTTTCTGTTCTTCTCGTAATCCCAGGACGATTTTCTCTCTTCCTCCCTAGAAGATGGTGACGGTTGAAGCTGCTCCTTCTCATAGTTCCGTTGTCGGTCTATCCCCGGCGAGTATCCGCGCTGCTGATAGGTAGTCCGCGATGGATTATACTCCTGCGGAACTTCACCGGCCTGAAGTAGTTTCGGATCTCTGTAAACGGGATTGTTGCTGCTGCTGTTGCTGCTCGTGCGTGTCGATCCGTTCTCCTCCATTTCTGCGTTCTCGCTGCCGCCACCCCCGCCAGTCACGCCCGACGTCGACTCGCCTTCGTCGCTGCTTCCTAGAAAGAACAAATAAACCGAGATATGAATCGATAAATTAAATATTCAAAGAAATATCGAAGCAACATCTATCAAAAAATTATATTATTATAAGTTTAATTTTGTTACTACAATTTTAATATTTTTTCTGTGATATAATTTCTGTACCTATATATACACGTAACTATAAATATATATACATATAAGTATATGTACATACATATACAGAAATTATAACAAGACAAATATTAAAATTATGATATAAAATTTTAATTTTATAATAATATACTCTTTTTTATACATATCACTTGATATACATATATATATATATTTTTATACTATTTCTAAAACTAAAAAAAAGAACAGCCTTGATTAAATAATGTCTTCTTAACTCGACGAGTCAGGATAAAATTATGTTCTTTAAAACTATTAACAAACTGTAATAATTGACTTTTTTCTTTCATAAAAATATTTATTTATATAACATGTGTCAATTACTCTAAAGATTATATTAAACATTTTTATCACATTTTCAGTAACTGTTATTCGCCATCTACGAAAACTACGTTTATTAAGGAAGGTTTGCACATTATAGAATAATGATGAGAGAGACGACTTTCCGGAAAATGACGTATTGATTGGTCATTTCTGAGAAAGCGGTAGCTCGTTGTTCTCGCGATAAAGTCGCAGTTCGTGATATTAAACGCAAGTACGAACGTTTTGTTGCAGGAAAGGTCGTGGTTTCGTGTAAACGTCGTTTGCGTTTCGATGTCGGAAAATCATGAATGGTTTTGCACGAGAAAGGTAAAATAAATTTATATTTGCGGTCTCCCTCTCTCTCTCTCTCTCTCTCTCTCTCTCTTTCCTTCTCTCTTTACGACTTGACGGAATCCTAGGCACACAAAGACAAGTGTCAATTGGAGTATGCGCTATCTGCGGCACGTTTCTTCGTATGCAGCTGCCGCGTGCACGTAGTGACACCCAAGCCGAGGATGTTTGTCGTGATAAGAATTTTATTGTCCTCTTGTCGGCTGTTTTTGATGCGTCGTGATATCATACTATGCAAGATATAAGAGAGGATAAAGAGAATCTATTCTATGTGTATTATTAAATAAATTGCAATAAATAAATTCTATTTTGTCGCAAACTACAGACAAAAATATATAATAAAAAAACAATTCGATACGTGTACAATAGTATAATAGTATTAAAAAAAGCATAAATTATATATACAAGAAATATTTTTATTTCTAAACACATTTAATTGCGCATAAACACGCATTCAATAAAAGCATTGTTATTTATTCGTGACAATTATATCGCGTTCGAAGTGACAAAGAAATATCGCACGAATCTGGTTTTGTTTGTACATCTCGCTTTAGCCGGATACGACGGGCCCTTCTTAACGGCATCCTTATCTCTAAATCGAAAGATATCCACGCGGGTGTATCGTCTATCTAAAAACAAACTATGAACTTTATGCACGTCCTCGAGCCAGCCGAGAAACCTGCGAAGATCGAGAGTCCTCTGCAAACAGCGAGAGTTCCGTGTGAATCAGCGACTAAGCAAATGATCGTTTTAGCGACGAGCTGGCAGGTGCATCCAAGAGGAAGACAAATTATGGAGAGATAGAGAAGAAGGGAAGGAAGCACTATAATTTTATGATCAAAGCTTTCTCACGATTAATTTCGATATCGCAACGGTGCTATTAAATAATTAAGACAAATTACTGATTTTGTTACACATCCCCCTCTGGAAAGTTTAAATAGAAGAGAAGGAGCAGATATTTCTACACATTAAAGACTGCATGTATAAAAAGCGGTCCATACACGTCATATACCACGCAATAAAACGTTAAAAATATCAATTTTACGATGCCGGCTTCAATTCCATTCTAATCGAGAGAGTAAACAAAGGCTTAAGGATCCGTCGACTTACGTCGATGGTGCGGGCGAGTCGTAAAAGAAAACGGTGATCCTGCAAGGCGTGCTTGTCGACACGAAGCTCAAAGAGACAGGATGTCTATGAGTGCTGATATCGATGCGTCATAGTTAATGGAAAGAAATAAATCGTTCATATAGTAATCCATAAGTAGGCTTCGATTCCGAAATCATTATTATATGCTTAATAAAAATGTTAAAATATTTATTGCAGTTAATTGGAAACCTCTATATACTTCTAAATTAATAACTTTTTACAATTGCATTGTTTCTAAATTTAGATATATATATATATATAATGTCACTTATCTAGATAAAAAAAATTAAAATTTTATTAAAAAGTAATTATAAATGTAAAAAAACGTATTCTTTAAATTTCTTAAAGTGAAATCTCACTCCAAAAGAGTTAAAATAATACTATTAAAAAAGGGTGAAAAATTTGCACTCTTGAATAAGAGCAGCAGATTTTCACTGTTTTTTTAAAGTAAAATTTTACATTATTGAAATGAGATTCATTATGAAAAAAAGAAACTTTATTTCATTTTTGAAGTGAATCTAAAAAAAAAAAGGAAATCTGTCACTCTTATTCAAGAACGTAAATTTTTTTAATAGTGACAGTATTTTAACTCTTTTTTTAATAATGGCAGTATTTTAACTCTTTTGGAGTGAGATTGATACACTCTAAGAAATGTAGAGAGTACTGGCATTGTTATCCAAAATTTGGTCTTAATCGACAGAATAAACACGATTTAGGATCTTCATGGTCGGAGATGATCGTAAAGAAGAGACCTGATCACGCGAGGGAACCCGGGATATACACTCCAGATCATCACAGTGAGTAGCCGATATGATACAACAACAATATTTGGAAAACCCTCGAAAGCCAGGGGTCTTTGACTTCTGTGGGATCCAAGTGCCAGAATACTTTCTCCCTTGACAGAGAAGTATGAGTGTACTTGTTGAACCATGCGTGACATTATCCCTGATGATAGCGGCTCGAGAGGCACTGAAGATGATTAGAGCATAGTACCGCTTTAGCGCGGCTTAAACCCTAGACGAATTAATCGTGGGAAGAACCTTTTTTGATATTAATTCAGAAATTAATTCCTCCACAGATGTATAGGGAACTTCCAGTTATCTATACCTAGCTTTAATTCTGAAGAATATAAAGTTTCTAATGTCTCTACGATAAAATTATTTTTATTCAAAAAATTGTCTTTTGTAAAATATCAAAAAGTAATTATTTTTTCATATTCCTAAAATAAGAGAGTCATGTTTTATTTTATTACAAACTTGTACGTAAAATCTTACGAAGTCACACACTATCAGGTATTTTATAACCAGTATACAATAATTGGAATATTATTGGCAATGGCGGATAGGCGGCTAATGAAAATTATTCTATTAGTTGCTATTGTGTGTCACATGATATTTACCGTGAAAATAATAATATATGTTTGTCAATGTAGTTAGCGAATTATAAAGCAAATGACTCTTTTGCATCGCACGAGTCTATTGTGATCGATGATTGATGCGCGTGTGCGATACTTTGTGAATTCGTCTATTGATTGCTGGATAGTTGCATACGCCAAATATATAGACAGTCAACGTTTCACGATCGAAGGGTTTAACAAACGATCAATCAATGATCGATTAATCTACCCATTAAGTAGGTATATGAAGCTAACTGTAAATGTCCAAACATTGTCAAATAAATACATATTTGATAGAAAAAACTAAACATATAAAATAAAACAAAGTTTATAAATATCATATATTCTTATATATACGATATATATTCTTCTGTGCTAAAAAGTAGTCATTGAAATATTTATTATTGCATATAATAGACAAAATTAATTTCTTTATAATTTTACTTATATAATCATATAATTCCTTGTTTCCTTAGATCCAAAATTTCTTTATAATATAATTTAAACATAATGTAAGCATTTCGAAGCGTCGATCAATTCTCATAAGATATTTAAAAATGATTATTGAACGAGGCAAAATCTGGAATAATGCATCTCAAGCGGCAGAGAAGCAGGACACGCACGGAGATTACCACGAGGTTCAAGAAACGCAAGTGGGACTTCCGGAAAAGATAATTAAACAAATTGGCGACTAGAGAGATGTCGGAAGAGCGATTGCACCGCGAGTTACGTTCGCGCTCGTGCAGACCGCGTTAGCTCTGACCGCACAGGACATCCTGGTGATACGAGAATCCTCTAAAGAACAGCGACGTTTTTTAATGTACCATGTTATGGAACACGAGGTGGCGAGAGGCGACGCCGGTATTTCCGAAAGCTCCACTGCAGATAGTGCGATTAATGGCCAATCTTGCTGACAGTATCAGATCTCCCCTACCATGGGGCGCAGATTGGCGATTGGGCCAAATTAATTAGAAAAACAACGTCGTCGGATCCTGCGGCCAGGGGCAGTATCGTGAGACGTCGATAAAATTATCAGCGTGTCACAGAATTAGCAGGCCAAGGCAGGCCAAATTGGACAGAAGATCGAATCTGCAGAGTCTGGCTTCCGGACAAGCTGCGGTCAAGCTTCCTTGCCGATATTTGCATGTAATGGAACGAACAAAAGGATACTTTGCGTCAACAAGTCCGTATTTTGTAAGAGTATCGAACTCTTATAACAAATATTATTCGATTGTGTAACGATGTTTACGTTTTAACAGCTGGTTACACTAATCTTATTTAAGGTCGACTTAACAATCAACCTTAATAAACCAAAACGAGATAAACAAATATAAAACCAATTTACTTACGTTATGTCAGTTTATAAAAATAGACTGGTGATGAATCCAAATAATCGAGTCTCGATTATCTACATATCGACTTGGTATAAAATTAGAAAACTGACATAAATTAATCTTTATATTCACGCTAATAAAAAATTATCTTTAATAATATTTAGAGTAATTACGATTACTCTTACGTCTGTCATTGTTATTTCCACAGATCCCGCAGATCAAAAACTTCGTTTCATCAACTAGCGCATTTCGTTCTGTATGTTAACATAAATCGTAAAAACTCAATTATAATAATCGCGGGCGTTTTTTTAATATCGGTCCATTATCACAACGCAATCTATTTGACTTACCATTCATCTTGCAATCCACGACGGACCGGGACAGATCGAGACCGTTCATAGGTAGTTCGTCTCGGATCTGGATCTGGAATCCTGGATCTTCCAAATGATTCTGGACGAGACGAGGATTCGGGATCACTCCCGACACATTGGTGTATCACAAGAGTTTTCCTTCACGAGATCACGTCAACATCACGATAATGACGAGCGACGTCGGTGGAAATCCGTCGGCGGACCGACAGTCTTCATGATCGAGCGATCGATCGGAACCCGAGGCCACCGGAGAGGTGGATGCGATCGCGGGGGGTAGCCCGCGTAGCGCGAACCTTCCCGGACGAGCGATTGATGGAAGAAACGGACAACGGAAAGAGCGCTGCTCCGTGTCAGCTGGCCCTTGGCGGACTAGAGGATCCAAAATCTGTTGAGAAGAGGATGGCACGACGAGGGTTCTCTTGGGATCCCAGGGACGATTCACGGGGTGTGGCGGGTCGCTTCCAGCGGGACCTCTGGTTGGTTCACGGGCGGAGCCACCCCTATCGCGTCGAGGTCCCCACCAAGGCGACTACAGCATCCCTCGGGAGAGCGAGCGAGAGGAATGTGGTGCTTCGGCGGTGGAGCGTAATGCGACTGTCTGAGAGAAGTCTGAAGAGGGGGTAACAGGGGAGGGGGTAACGTAACGTGACGCTGATAACGAAAGAGATTTCGCGGTAGCTGAATGTCAAAGTCGAAAAAACATGGGATTCTTTCTCCAAAGGTTCGAGGAGCCGTGAGATCAATTTTAACAGAAAGAGACGTTTATCTGAAAGATGCATTGCAATTTTTTTCATTTTCTATGAAATTAACTAATGTATTGTTAATTAATACTAATGTTTAATTACTAATTTATTTAATTCGTAAATGTCACTGATAAACGAGAAATGTGACACGTGATAAAATAAATTAAAACATTTTTTTACTTTATTAGATTATTTGTCGGCTATACATTATACGAATTATAAAAAAAATTTCGGAAAATGAAGTGTAAAACAAATATTTAAAAAATATAAAAATTATTACGTCAAGTATCAATTTCAAAAATATAAGATAATATAATTATAAAAATATACGTTTATATTAAAAAAAAAAATTATTTTTACATCCATATAAAGATATTTAAATTTCAAGAATTTAAAAACTATAAACACGAGACGTTGAGATATTTATACAGTTGGCCATTTAAATCTCGCCTTGCTCTCAAATCTGAAGAACACTGAAATATATCGTACTACATTTCCTACATTTTTTCTTACTAACAATTCACGAATGGGCGTAGAGTAATGCAAGACTTCATTAGTAGTCAGCAGTAAGATGTCAACGCACTAAGATTTTTTATCGCAAAAAATTTCTATCAAAAAGCACTTCTATAAGAACGCAGGGAAGAAAAGACCCCACGCAGAGACGAGGTCAGCGGGACAGCCACCGAAGTCCTTATTGGACAAGGGCGGCTACTTTTTCACTGCGAAAAGTCGCTGTCACAAACCACCCAGTCAATTCTCCATTTTTTTCCAACCACACTCCACAATTTGCAGCGATTTGTCCATCGACTCAACTTCAAAGTCAATCGAAAGAGTAGAGTATCCGAAACGCCAATCTCGCGTATTGTTGCGCTTCACTTTCCGATGGAAAAAATATCTTTCTATATATAACGTTCGTCTTAGTTAAGAAGAGACTTGAGATTTCCCCAAAAATCGTTACAGTTATAGAAAAACGGTCGAACGCAGGCTTTTTCAGCTTTTGCATTCTCATGAATCCTACTTTTTCTGAATTTTTTATTTGAACGTGACCTATAAAAATATTCCACGTAACGAAATCTCGTTTCTTCTTTCATCTCAAAAAATTCAAAGTCAAAGAATATCTGCGTATAATATAATATCAGAAAAAAGGAAGTAAATATATAATTGTAGAAATAAACTTATATTTTATAAAAATAATTCTATTAAAAATGTGTGTCTATATAAAACCAACTTGTTTGAAGATTTTTGTCTTCCCTTTCCCTTTCTCTTATCACGTACAATCAGTTTCTATTTGGGTTTCTCTCTTTTTCAGGATTGTCATCCTTGACTTTAAGGAACATGAAGATAATCGAGAGTTATTAGTGCGCATTTCCCAGCCTGTTTATTTCCGAGGCGAGCGAGCACGATGATTTAAATCCTATGCGTGCACGTCATAAAATCGGGACGACCGCGGATAAAGCCGCGCGGGAATATATGACGGAGCCGAAAGACGGCGAAACAAATCTTCATTTCTCTAGTCGGCGAAGGCGCGCGCGGAAAAAGGAGGCAGTAACGACGATATGACTGTGTTTCGCAGCCGGGAAGACATGTGTCGCGTGCAGTTATATCATTCTTTATGGCCGGTAACGCCGGTACCCTTCGTTCATTCGGCGTCGACTTTGTCCTTCGCGCAATATTTGGAGGGGCTTGATTTACACCGGCATAAAAATGTCTCTACGTTCTGGATGTTGATATCACCTACTGTGCGCACCTTCGTTTTCCAGCGCGGAAAGAAAATCGCACCCTTTAATAAAACGGAAATGCTACGGTTTTCTTCGCAAATTTTTGAAACTGTTGTCTTACGGATCCTTCACACGTATAATCGAAAAAATCGAATGACAGATAAAACTGTCAAAATTTTTCAGAACTAGCAAAATAAAGTATACATAAAAGTGTATTTTTATCATATTAAATTTGTACGATTAACAAAAAGTCGAATTTATTAGAAATATAGCTAAACAATTTAATTATATACACGCCGATATAATTAAATAATAACATAAATATAATTAAATAGTAAAAATCGGCATTTCTGAAATATTTATACATGTTTATAACGTTTGTTTGTAATGCATTATTTCTATGTTATATAGTGTGTATTATTTAGAAATTTTGCACATACATATTTATAATTAAAATATTTATATATTATTACACAAAATTAAATGTTATTACACTCTAGCTTTAGTAATAATTAGCTATTTATTATTACCTGCATAAAACACATTTCTGCGAAACATGTAATGCCGTTTAATTTCATGATTGCTGCAAAAATATCGGCCGCTCTATAATATGTATTCTCTCACGTTCCGCCGATATATCGTTCATTTTTTTTTTCAATCTTTCAGGGAGTCTTATTTCGTAATACTACAGCACCTGTAATTCTAGATGCTTAGGGGGAATATATGTTGATTTTACTCGTACTTCATAATATTACCTACAAACACACATTAGTCATACACACGTCACGGCTGAAGTCGAAGTCTAAAATTATCTTTAACCGAACAGAAATTCGTCACAGGTCATTTATTTCCAATAATCGTCAAATATCGTAACCGTCGTTATTCAGTTGAGGCAGGGGTTTTGCCTGAAAGATAGAGCTCGATCGATTCTCACGCATGTGACGACGACGCCAACGACGCCGACGGCGACTAACTATACGAGGGGGCAATAAATAACGGGAATATCAAAGGGTTATCAGATCTAAGCAGACCTTCTACGTCTGGCGCAACTTCTGACACGTGGAGTGACGATGCTGTAATGTCGACGGCAAAGTGTACGCGTGCAGGGTGAGTTTGTGCGAGTAAAGGGGGAGGATCGGGCGAGAGGGGAGGGATGAGGAGGTAGGTAGGCGCGAAGCTATTAAACTGACAGAAACTCCCCCCCCCCCGGTCTCCTGCCGCCCCCACACACCTCATCCACCGCTCTCACGACCTCCCCCTCGAACATGCCATCCCTTACTCGGGAAGCCCTTCGTCCTTTACTCTGCAACACCGGAGTTATTAATATTTTTCGCAGCCCTCGAAAAATTGTCTCTCTCTCATGCGGCGGCAGCCCAGCTTCCATGCCGGAGAAGCAATTTTGCGGGCGTGTCGCCCACTGTCGCTGTCAAAGGATGGAGCGACAGATAGAGAGACGCTTTTCCCTCGCCGCGCCGTTCACGACACGTTTATATTGTGTATTTTAACGAACAGTCGAAAATATACAAATCTGTTTCTTCATCATTAAATGATTATATTGTATTACTATAGTTGTCGTATAAAACATTATCGTTTTAGATGTTGAGATTTCGTTCTGATTTAACGTTCGTTAAAGTTCAAGACTTTTATTCTTATTCAGATACATTTTAATTTCATACATAACCCTTTATGTATTGTCGAGTTTTGTAAATAATTGTTTTATGCGAATAATATTCTCATTTTATTAGAAAATAAATTGTACGGAAATGAGAGAATTAAATTGAGAAGAAATTTCAATACCTTTTCTCTAAATATATTTGAGATTGATTTTTGCACGGCACTCGAAGTATACAATATCTCATTATGCGCTTCCCCGTAGTTCGATCGGGAATCTGTCGAGATAGAGAGCGAACTGCTCGACGACGTCTGAGTCGCGACCGTTAACGGTCGCGCGGGGAAGAAGCTGGTCGATCGAGACAAAAAAAAAGGGAAGAAAAGAAAGAGAGCAGCTCATTGAAGAAGCAAAAAGAGAGAAAGAAGTCAATCCTCGAGGCGACTAAACAATTGTCTCGCGCTCGAGTGGCCTCCTGTAAATTCACGTGGTCGGACTCCTTGATATATCCCGAAGCGAATGACGCGTCTCCCCACAAAGACACCGAGCGAGCAGAATGAGAGTCGAGGCCGGGCCAGGCGCGCGATCCGCTGAAAAGGATCGAGATTCAAGAGACGTGCGTGTCCGTGAATGCCATTGCCATGCTCGCGAACAACGAGTACGAGTACATAGCCATGAGCCCATATATTCTGAGTGGCCAAAATAGCGAATGGCGAATCTACGAGTCAACGGTCGATCGGGGAGTCTATAATTTGTGTTTGAATCGGAGAATCGCATCGGTCTCTCTCTCTCTCTCTCACACACACTCGCTCTCTCTTTCGTCTCATCAGTGTTGTGCACGCACACGACGCCTCGCCTTTCGGAGTGCTGGCTTCTAATGTGTCATTGAGGACCACGTTACGTGGCATAAGTAGTCGAGAAGAAGAAAGAATGGGAAGCGGAGACGAGGAAAGCGAGA